GGAGTTCTGGCCCCACTGGTGGACCTCCTGATGGCACCTGGGTTTTGGCCACTGTGTGGCACAGAGTGTTGGACTGGATGGGCCTTTGGCCTGGTCCAACATTGGCTTCTCTTCTGTCCTTATGATTGATGGGACAGTCAGGAGGTCCTCTCCCTGTGATCTTAATTTCTGGGCAGGGATCATAGAGGAGAAGACGGTTCTCCAGGTAACCCTGGTCCAGTGTTCCCTCTAAGCTGAGTTAGTGCGAGCTAGCTCACAGTTTTTCAGCCTCCGGCTCACACATTTTTGTCTCAGCTCAGGGAGGATATGGCTCCAGAGCAAACTGATTTATGCAGCAGCCAAATTACTGGCCCACAACTTTCATGCCAGTAGCTCACAAAGTAGAATTTCTGCTCACAGGATTCCACAGCTGAGAGGGGACATTGCCCTGGTCCCCAGCCACCTAGGGTTTCAAAGGTCAAAACCAACACCTTAAATCAGGCCCAGGAGCGGAACATTAGCCAGTGTAATTGCCGTGATATCCAGGTCACCACTGTTCCCTCTAAGCTGAGTTTAGCATGAGCCAGCTCACAGTTTTCTAGCCTCCGGCGCGCACATTTTTGTCTTGGCTCCGGAAGGAGGGGCTCCAGAGCAGACTGATTTATGCAGCAGCCAAATCGCTCACTTCACTCACAGCTTTAATGCCCGTAACTCACAAAGTAGGATTTTTGCTCACGAGACTCCACGGCTTAGAGGGAGCATGGCAGGCTGCGTGCTCCCGACACTGACCTACCGAGGATATGTGTGTGTGTTTTTAAAAAAGATCCTTTATCATGGCTAAGGCGAAGTGTCGGCGTGATAAGAGCCTCCTTCCCTTCGTAGGTTCATGGAACCGCTCAGCTTGGCAGGTCGTGTGCTCCCAACACTGATGTACCAATGTGTGTGTTTTTAAAAAAGACCCTTTATCATGGCTAAGGCGAAGTGTCGGCGTGATAAGAGCCTCCTTCCCTTCGTAGGTTCATGGAACCGCTCCCGACATTGCCGGGAAGGACTTGGCCAACCCGACGGCCCTGCTCCTGAGCGCGGTGATGATGCTGCGTCACATGGGCCTGCAAGACTACGCCAAGAGAATAGAGGACGCCTGCTTCGACACCATCAAGGCCGGAAAGGTATCCTCGGCGGACTCCCCCTCCACGTTCTTTTTCTTGCGGGTCATCCGCTTTTTCTGCATGCGTGCGACATACATTGCGTCGCCTCTGAAGGCCAGCTGATTTACTGCGGCGGGAGGCTTTGCTGTGGCAGAGCAGACCGTCGTCCTCGAAAAGCGAATGCCGCAGTAAATAGGTGGGTCTTTAAAGGTGCAACGGCCCTGACATGGATGGCGCAGGCTAGTTTGATCTCGTCAGATCTCAGAAGCTAAGCAGGGTCGGCCCTGGTTAGTCCTTGGATGGGAGACCACCAAGGGAAGTCCAGGGTTGCTACGCAGAGGCAGGCAGTGGCAAGTCATCTCTGTTCGTCTCCTCTGACCTAGATGGCGCAGGCTAGCCCAGTCTCGTCAGATCTCAGAAGCTAAGCAGGGTCAGCCCTGGTTAGTCCTTGGATGGGAGACCACCAAGGAAGTCTAGGGTTGCTACGCAGAGGTAGGCCATGGCAAACTACCTCTGTTTGTCCCTTGCCTTGTAAACCCTACAGTTTGGTGTAGTGCTTACGAGTGGCAGACTCTAATCCGGAGAACCAGGTTTGGTTCCCCACTCCTCCACCTGTAGTTGCTGGGTGACCTTGGGTCGGTTACAAGTTATTTCAGAGCTTTTCTCTCAAGGGCAGTCCTCGAGAGAGAGCTCTCTCAGCCCCGCCTACCTCACAGGGTGTCTGTTGTGGGGAGGGGAAGGGAAAGGAGATTGTAAGCTGCTCTGAGACTCCGAGTGAAGGGCCAGGTATAAATCCAATCTCTTCTTCTAAGCCGGCTACAACGTGACAACACTGTGTACCACTCAAGGTCCCACAACACTCCTCTCTGCTGTGTTGTGTCAGATTGAGAGCTAGCTACTCCTCTAGGATCTGCCCCCATGAATAGCTTCTAACATAGGCGTAAAGTTCGTGGGGGGGGGGCATCAGCCCTCCCCCAAATTTTCAGGAAGGTGCTCAGCCTCCCTCGGGAGCAACTGGTTCCAGCCACCCTTGCCCAGCCTCAGCCCCCCCCCCCCCCCCGGGAAATTGGAAAGTCTACACCCTTGGCTTCTAATGAAAAGAGACTTTTTATCTGGAAAAGACCTTGGGCACAGCTGGTAAAGGAGACTGTCGGTTTACTGCCGCTCTTACACACAACACACTGCCGGGGTCCATATTCATTGACCCTAATGACTGAAGTTAATTTTCCCCCTCCTTCCCCTCAATTTCAGGTCTTGACCAAAGATTTAGGAGGTAACGCCAAGTGCTCGGACTTCACAGCAGAGATCTGCCGAAGGGTGAAGGATATGGAATAACAACAAACACTCCCACCCTGCATATCATGTCGGTTACACGCACTCCAGACGGATCTTCTTACTCAAAACACATTAGCTGTCTGCAATTTATATACTTCAGTTTGTCTTTCTCTCGGAGAAAGCAAGCGTCTTTCTTTTCATTTTTTTTTAAGGTGGGGCCTCTTTGTTAAATCAACTCAGCCCGCATGGATGTGATTATTCTTGTGCCTGTTTTTTTTCGCCAGACCGCTTTCTAAAGTGCTTTTTCATCCTTTTATTTATGTGTTGAACGTCCTTCCCCTCACCCCCCCCCTTTCTCTCTTTTTTAATTTTTGTAGCAGTTCTTTTAGGGTACTGGATGAAGTGGTCGGCCATCTTTCCCATTTCAAAATCTTTTTTTTTTTACGTTCGAGAAATCCATTAGCCTCTAAATGTAGGAGAAAACACGACTTTGAAGCAGATTTGGTTGGTCTATTCGGTCTGTGGTCTGTATGGAACACAGGCGGTTCTTTGGCCTTTTAAAATAGCACAAGTCTATAGATATTTCCTAAAGCAAGAAAATACTTGAATTAACCTCTAGAGAAGCCAGTGCGAAGAAAGCCTTTGAGTGTGCTCTCCAGCACCTGAGATTTGCCCTTTGAAAGTATGTATAAATGAATTCCATTTGTATAAGCGCCGGATTTTTAAAGACTGTATATAAAATTCAGGGCATCTTTGCAGTGTCTCCGTATCTAGATAGACTACCCCCCCCCCAGCCTCCGGATGGCTTTGATCTAGCAGTTTCCAATGAAGATGAAATGCAAACTGATTTTTGTCCGCTGTCGATCAAATGGGGGGAGGGGACTTTTTCGATCTGGACCAATACCAAATGCATCATCCGCCGTTCCCGAATCTGAGGCCTTTATATTATCCTCACTTTTTATATTATGATTCAGTTCACATTTATGCCCCTCTGATATTAATGGCTTTTCGAAACAACCGAAACGGAAGACAAATGAGATTACATAGCCGGCCCAAGGGACAGATGAGGCAGAGGGGAACCGTCCCGCGTCACCGTTTCTGTCCCGAATAACATCCAGACGTACAAAATAGATGCTGTAATAGGTCTTCCCCCAATGTAGTGTCTTCCCCTCCCCTGCAATCGGCAGCTAGTTAAGTACAGTGGGGCTGGGGAAGTTCAGAGACTCGTGGCGTGGTCAGGTTTTCAAACTTCTTAGGCCCCTTAGTTTTTCACACTCTGCCACACATCTCCCGTCATGCCCAGTTCCAGCGTGAGCAGGACAGAATGCAGGATTCTGTTGGTTTTTTTCTCTCCCTCTTTTGGGTCACGCCTGAAAGGTGTCAAAGTTCTAAACTTCTTCCCGTCGCACATCACGTTGGGGGGGGAACCGTGTGCGACGCCGGCCCCTTCAAACTTCTCGACATAATTCCACGGCCAGTTTCTCCAGTCCGTGTGGTACGCTCCCCGCCTCTTTCCGAGACCCTGTCCGCTGAGTTTCAGCTGTCCGCTTCTCGGTCTACGAATCCAAGCCACATAGAGTCCCTCCGCTTTGCCACACGGATTCCCCGCTCGGCGTCCGCACAAGCAAAATTAGTGATGGACACAACTGTGAGGGGTTTCGGGGTGTGTGGTTGTATTCTTTTTTTTCCCCCATGCTTATGCACTGAGAAGTATTTAACTTCCGTTCTCGTACGTCAATATGGGCTGGCTCGAAAGAAAGACCTCTTGCTTCGTCTGTGTTTTATCTGCCGCCGCCGCCGCTGCTTCCGTCTCTTTGGATTGTACTAAGTGACTATGGGGGAGTCACCAATCGCACACAAAGTGGAGAAAACAGAATAAAGATCTCCCAAAGACACACTGCTTGTCTGTCTTCATTAGTCTGAAGTGCTCTGACCGACACCAAGCGCACTCCTGTAGCTGCTTGTAGCAAGCGTATGTTCCTACCTACAGACAGAGTTCTTGTATGAGAGCTCAAACAGAGGAGACCAAAAAACTGCCCCTACAAAATGCAAGTTACAGGACCATTCCGCCTCAGTTTGCCTTGGGGCCATGCGGGGAAAGGAGGCGCACTTAACCCTTGAATCTCCACCCAGTTCGCTATTTGAAATCCGGCTTCCTACTTCATTGGCATTTCAAAAGAGGAAAGATATGTCTTTTTAAAATGTGCGTTTCCCCCTCCTCTACTAGTACTGGGGGGGAGGGGCTGGTTCAAGACTCTTTGGAAACAGGCTGGAGGTTGAAGGGTTAAGCCTCCTGGTCCCTTCCCTCAACAGCCCCAAGACCAATTGAGGCTAAGCAAGCCTGCTCCTCGAACACGGACCGAACGAGAGCAAAGATTGTCTTCTCTTGGGGCCATAGCCTAAAAATCTACTCCCTAGATCAGCTTTTGCAAGCAGCTGACGCCCTAGTTTTAAAAACGTGGAGCCAAATGTCTTGCGTACCTGAGAAGAAAAGGATCGTCAGCAGTGAACGCAGTGACCGAAATTCACAACTCTATTAATTTCCCATAGGCATTACGTGTCAGGGGGTTAGGACCAATGGCATGTAAAACACTGAATCGTTCTACACTGTAAAAATGGTTGCCTGTATCTCTGGCTATGCACCCCGACCAATGCTCCCTCTAAGCTGCGGAGTCTTGTGAGCAAAAAAACTACTTTGTGAGCTCCTGGCATTAAAACTGTGAGCCGCCAATTTGGCTGCTGCATAAATTAGTTTGCCCTGGAGCCACATCCTTCCTGAGCTAAGACAAAAATGTGTGACCCGGAGGCTAAAAAACTGTGAGCTGGCTCACACTAACTCAGCTTAGGGGGAACACTGACCCCGACCACGTTATAAAGTGTGTGAAATGCACATAGCTGCTTTGAATGCCAATTTGGGTGGGTCTTAGTCTTTTTTAACAGGGATCCTCTGCGGGTGGCGGTGAAGTATTTTCAGAACAGGAATACCAAGGGACGTCTGCGTACAGGGTAGCGACAGAGCTGGCTCAAAACTCTTCCACTGTGATGCAACTATGTGTGATGCTCGTATTTGCCTTCTGTGGCTACCTTTGCAGCAATGGTTGCCAGCTCCAGGTGAAGAAATACATGGAGGATGGGGAGTGTGTGGAGCCTGGGGAACAACATCACAAGAGAACCCATGTTGGATCAGACCAGGGGTCATTTCCTGCAGGAGCGCACAGGAGCGGAGCTCCGGCAGTAAAGAGCCCAGGGGGCGGGCATATGCAACAAGTCCCGCCCCCTGCTCCCAGCAGCACTCAGTCAGAGCAAGAAGCAGCCAGGTAAGCTGCAGAGCTCCCCCCGGCCGAAAACAGTCCAGTGGCACCTTTAAGACCAAGTTTTATTCAGGTACAAGCTCTCCCTCCTCTGCAAGGACAGATCTGCACGCCCCCCCCCCCAATAACTAGCGATCCAAAACAGTCCCGTGGAGCCTGAGCGGTGGGTGTTGCCTTCTGACGCACTTCCAGTGATGTCAGGGGGTGTGACATATGCAAATAAGTTATGCTAATGAGTTATGCTAATGAGCTCCTGAACCTCTTTTTCTACTAAATGACCCCTGGATCAGACCAATGGCCCAGCCAGTCCAACACTCTGGGTCACACAGTGGCCAAAACCCAGGTGCCATCAGGGGGTCCACCAGCGGGGTCAGAACTCCAGAAGCCCTCCCACTGCTGCCCCCCAAGTGCCAAGAATACAGAGCATCCTTTACCCCAGACATGAGAACGTAAGAGAAGCCATGTTGGATCAGGCCAATGTCCCATCCAGTCCCACATTCTGTATCGCACAGTGGCCAAAAATACCAGGGACCATCAGGGGGTCCAGCAGTGGAGCCAGAACTCCAGAAGCCCTCCCCCTGTTGCCCCCCCAAACACCAGAGCATCACTGCCCCAGAAGTCAGGGCTTGGGGACAGGAGGGAACCTAAGCAGGGTATAATGCTGTAGACTCCACCCTCCAAAGCAGCCATTTTCTCCAGCGGACCTGACCTCTGCCTTCAGGAGATTCCATTGTAATTCAGAAGATCTCCAGGCCTCAACTGGACGTTGGCAGCCCTGTTTGGTCCTTGGTGTCGCCATTCGGCTGTGGCACAGTTTCCAGAAGAGCTGCTACAATACTCGCTTCCCCCCACCACCGCCACCCTGACCCAGAAATGTTGGATCACTTTGGAAGACAAAGAGTTATTCTATAGCTTTCTCAAGCCGCTAATCTCTTTACGGAGCAACTTGAGATGGGCGGCAGTTATTAACGCTGTTTCCTAGAGGGAAGGCTTGACATTTAACCAGCAAGACGGTGGCTATGAGGCGCCCAGACACACTTGCTGGGGACGAGAAGGGGTCCCAGATTATCTTCACCTCCTTCCTCTCTAGGGCTCTTCCTGTCGTCCAGAATCTATAGATAACAAGTTGAACTTTTCATGCGCCTATCATCCAAAGAGTTTATAATGCTCCCTCTCAGTGGAGTCTTGCAGGGCTATTTTTGGGCAGGAACGCACAGGAACGGAGTTCCGGCTGGCTCCCAAGTTGGCCACACCCAGCAGGAACTCATTAGCATAATAGGCCACACCCAACAGCAGGAACTCATTAGAATTGGCTACATTAAGGGTGTGTGGCCTAACATGCAAAGGAGTTCCTGCTCCAAAAAAGCCCTGGGTTTGGACAACAAACAAGGTAAACAGAATAAGAAGCAAAAGGTGGGTGTGGCTGGATGACCACACTTCTGGTAATGTGGGAATGCGGCCTAATATGCTAATGAGTGGTGCAGTCAGGGGGTGTGGCCTAATATGCTAACGGGTTTCTACTGCTGGGAGTGGTCTATTATGCTAATGAGTTCCTGCTGGACTTTTTCTGCAAAAAAAGCCCTGCTTGTGAGCAAAAATTCTACTTTGTGAGCTACCGGCATTAAAGTTGTGAGCGAGCGATTTGGCTACTGCATAAATCAGTTTGCTCTGGAGCCCTCCTTCCTGAGCTAAGTCAAAAATGTGTGAGCCGGAGGCTAAAAACCTGTGAGCTAGCTCACACTAACTCAGCTTAGAGGGAACCCTGGTCGGCACATCCCAATGTAAGAGAGCCTCACAACAGCCCTGCAAGGTAGATCAGTCCGAGTAGCCTGCCCTACTCTGAGCTCTGTGTTTGAGGTCCACCGTGTTTCTTTCACAGTGTTTCCTCTATGTTTGTCTTGGCCTGCTAAGCCAAGCCATCTTTCCGGAGACATTTTCGAACCCTTTCCATCTTACGTTTTGACTCTTATTCCAAAAATTAACACTCCTCTAACATTTCGATGCACCTCGTTTTATTTATTCCCCCGCACACACAAACGGGAGCAATATTTGCATAATGAAACGGTTTGGTCCAATGTTCCCTCTAAGCTGTGGAATCTTGTGAGCAAAAATTCTACTTTGTGAGCTACTGGCATTAAAGTTGTGAGCGAACGATTTGGCTACTGTATAAATCAGTTTGCTCCTTCCTGAGCTAAGACAAAAATCTGTGAGCTGGAAGCTAAAAAACTGTGAGCTAGCTCACACTAACTCAGCTTAGAGGGAACACTGGTTTGGTCCCACATTTTCTAATGTGCGTTAGTATGTTCACTTTGATTTGCTACCGAGGGTACTTCTTCAAGAGAAAAAACCAGAGGTCATTCCGGGGGGTAACGCGGGGGAACACAGTTCCCCCGGGTGAGGTGCAGGGGGGTGGGGCACATGACGAAGCCCCGCCCCCTGCTTCTGGCCGCCCCGCTTCCAGCCCTCATTCAGCCAGGAGGAGGCAGGAGAAGAGGGAGGGTAAGTTGCTTCCTCTCCGCCTCTCCCCACTCCTGCCTGCCTGGGGCCAGGGAGGGCCTTGGCGGGGCTTCCTCGCACTCCCGCTGGCCTTGCAGGTCCACCGCCGGGCCCCTGATGTCAGGGGGCGTGGCATATGCTAATGAGTTATGCTAATGAGTCCCCCTAGCTCTTTTTCTACGAAATGACCCCTGGAAAAAAACCCAACAACCTTGTTTAAGTAAAATATCAAACTCGGACGGTGTTCTTATCACCCTGCGGTAAACGGCCGAGCTAGGTAACGACAAGGGAAATCCCGGTCACTCAGTGACAGAGCAGAGATTTGAATGAGGGTCTCCGCCGGTACTAGTCTAAATTCTAGACGCTATACTACGCTGGCCGAACCAGATAGAGGAGATGGGTAAAATTGTCGCGCGTGGCAAAATTCTGAAAACTATAAAGAAAGACAGCTGAGTAGATCCGCCCGTCCCGAACAGCGCAGTGATGTTTTGAAGGAAGCTTGTGTTGGTTTTACGTTGCGCAGAAGCTTCCGGAAACAGGCCCAACGTCAGTCTCTGTAAAAGGCCTCGATGTCGTCTCGATACTTCTCCATCACGGCTTGCCGCCTCAGTTTCATGGTAGGCCCTAAAAGGGGGAAATAAGTCATATTAAGCTGGTTGCAATGGAAGGGTGTTTTCTTCAGAGGTTTTCGGAAACAGATTCCTAACGCATCGTTGCAGCAGTCGTTTGAGAAACCCCATTTTAGAAACGTTCTCTTTGAAAGAAACAGACTCTTCGGTAACATCTGCAAGTCTGCCTCTGGACAGATCAGGTTTCTGTGGTGAGGAGTCACAGGATCTCAGAATCACGCAGTCAGAAGGGGACCTACAGAGGCCATCTAGCCCAACCCCTGCTCAGTGCAGGATCTGCCTAGAGCAGTGGTGGCGAACCTATGGCACGGGTGCCAGAGGTGGCACTCAGAGCCCTCTCTGTGGGCACGCGTGCCATCGCCCCAGCCAGGCCCAGACCGTCATTAAAGTGTCGAATTCCCTGCCAAATAATTTTAAGTCAGTGAAAGCATTTGGGATTGCTTTCCTTATTTTGTTTGGATTATCTTAAATTAATGTATGAGTTGTTTTTTTCTAAAGTAAAACCTCAGCATTCAGGTTAAATGGCCGTGTTGGCACTTTGCGATAAATAAGTGAGTTTTGGGTCGCAGTTTGGGCACTCGGTCTCTAAATGTCCACGCTCTTAACTACTACTCCAAACTAGTTCACCACACCAAACTGGCTGCCAAACTGGTGGGCATGTTGTCGTTTCCCTCTCTCACCCTATCTCACAGTTCCAAGGGTTCCCTCCGGCTTAGAAAGGTTAGAGGTCCCTGGTCTACACCCTCAGCTGAAAAAGACAGACAGCTTTCTCGTCATACCATACCCAAGCCTGTCGCCCCACCCTCGGGGAGCTTACCGAATTCTCCACCGGCAATGGAAAAATCCTTTTCCAAGACAGCCCATTTCTGAACGCGTTGGACGTTGGCGACGGCACGTGCGTTCACGCGGTCGATGCCTTCCCGGATGGCCCGGTACACGGCCGGATCGCGCTCCCTCACGATCTCGGACGCCTTGGTGGCCTTGCTGCCGACCTTCTCGCAGAAATCACGAGCTTCTTGGGTCAGGCAGTCGGTGGGTTCCGACGTATCCAGATCGACGGCGCACTGGAACAAACGGGGGGAGCTTTTGTAGCGTTACAAACGTGAAATGAAGGCAGGTTCATTGCACAAAGATCCCAGCATCGAAAGGGAGGGTGGCTCAGTGGTGCAGCAGCTGCAAGGCGTGCAGAAGATCCCAGATTCAACCCCGGGCATCTCAGTTTCTCTCTCTGTGTGTATGCCTGTACTTGGAAGTCATGGGGTAACATCTGGCGACTCCTTCTCCTGCCTCTGCCTCCCAGCCCTGGTAT